TGGGGGTACTGCACTTCTCTAATGAAGCATGCCTGAAATAACTTGTCTACCTATTCGGTAATTATTTGATTTCTTTCAGGGGTGAATCTCCTATGTTTCTGTTTGACTGGTTTGAACGAAGAACTCACTCCGAGGCTATGGTATGAGACCGAAGGACTGATCCCTAGCATGTCCAAGTGGCTCCAAGCGAATACGTCTGCGTTCCGCCAGATGACGTTGAACAACATCTCCCTTTCCTCTGGCGAGTGTGAAAATCCTATATAAGTGACTTTTTGTGGATTACCCGGGACAATCTCAATAGCTTCAAGTGATTCTTTGGTGGACTTACACGTCTTTGCCTCTGCTACCAAGTATTTGGGCAGATGGTTCTATAATTGCTATTTAACAGTGTCTTCAAAGGTTATGTCCGATTTGTGTGGTTTATTGTATTTTCATGCTTCCTTCAGCGTCACCATATAATATTCCTTAGCCGTGGCTTGATCCCCCCATAGGTTGATGACTTCTTTACCATCTGGAGATAAACATAGCATCACCTGATGCAGGGTAGACGGTACTCCATTCATTCGGTGAATCCACCCTCTTCCCATGATTAGATTGTAGGAGGGGTGGATTTCTGTCAAAACGAAATTCTCTTTCAGCATCCTCTTCATGGCAATGACTGAAAAATCTAACACCCCAATAGGGTCTACTTTTGTTCCATCAAACCCCAGTATGGGTTGGATGTGGTCCTAATGGATGATGATGGGATCTTTAGTCGTTCAAAAACTGCCTTTGTCACGATATTGGCACTGCTGCCAGGGTCCACTGGGACTCTTTTGATCAGGCAATTTGTTATTAGGAGGCTAATAACAAGTGGGTTTTCATGGGGGAACTGCACTCTGGGTAAGTCTTCATCTTCGAATCTGATCTTGATACTGCCCAAAGTGATGGTATTAACCGAGGACAATTTCCTCAAATTGTGGACTGCTCTTACTCTGGAGCGGTACATCTCTTCCGACTTTCCATGAATTGTGACTTTTACTTGATTAACTTCTGCTCTCTTAGGATTGACCTCATTTGGCCTAGGTTGTTCCTTCGGCCTAATGTAATCCGCCAGGTCTCCTCTAGCTATCATGGATTCCACCTGTCTTCGGAGGATTTTGCAATCATTAGTGGTGTGCCCATAGTCCCTATGATAGGCGCAATGCTTACCTTTGTCCCTTTGCTCCAGGGGCTACCAAATTGGTTTGGGGGGTGCAAATCTTGCCTTATTTTTCTGGAATAATCGGGCCAAGGTTGTTCGAAGAGGGGTTAGCTTTTCCTCAGTTCTTTGCTTCTTTTCTAATGGTTGGACTGCTAGCATTGTGCCATGTTGACTCTTTTGGTTCTTCGGGCTCGAGGCTTTTTCACGGGCTTATTTTCCACCGTGCTGAGGGTTGCATGTTGAGCCCTGTTGGCTACATTCTTTTCAAGTCGGACGTAAATTTACGCCCTGGCATTAAAAGTTTGCATGTCTGGAGGAGAGTACTTGACCAAAGAGGTATAGAACTAATTCTTTGGATCATGGCGATCTTGAATGCTTCCACAGTCGTTGCCAGATGACAATCCAGTATTTTCGAAGCTTCTATATTATACCTGGATAGGAAATCCTGCAGAGTTTCTCCCCTCTTCTGCCTGATAATGAAGAGACTAGTAATAGTCTTTTTCTGTTTCTTATTACCGCAGTACCGCGCCAAGAACATGTAGTGCACAGAGTTTTATAGTTCGGGATCAACTTGTGCGGCTTGTTTTTGAACCATTCTAGTGTTACTCCCGTCAGGCTGGTTGGGAATACCTTGCACATGAGCGGATTGTTATGGTTATCCATGGCCATCTTCTGGGAGTAATAATCGAGGTGTCGGGAAGGATCTCCCGTACCGTTGAACTATGTGAAGATTGGCATAGTGAATTTCTTAGGCCTCTCGATATAGTATATTTCATCAGTAAATGGGGTCTTTACCAGAGAGGCCTTGTGTTCTTTGGCCATCTCCGCTGTTGTCTGAATCCTCACGAGCTTCTTTTCATTAAAGGCCTTTGGGATGTCGTTTGACCATGCTGTGATTGGACTGAGCCTGCTTGTCCCGCACGCGCTGATGAGGGTGGTTCTCCGAGGTTTCAGCTTCGGTTCTCGTCCTCTGCTCTTACCAGTTTTCGTTGGCTTAGGCTTCGGCTGCTGGAGGTATAACGTGGTTGAGGGGAACTCCTTGGGCTCCGTTTGGCAAGGTGGTATTGTCTGGCGGTGGTTGCGCTGCTATCTGCTCCATGGCTGCCTTGAGAGTATCATTTTGTTGTTGAAGCAGTGTGATTTGAACCGTGATGGCTTCGTTTGCTTGTTGGAGTGTCTCGAATTGTTGTAGGAACTCTTCTCGAATTTTCTGCATTAGTTCCATCTGTTGATCGGCTGCGGCACCTCCAGTTGACATCACAGAACGTAGTCGCATAAAAATATCACTAATCAGTCATGGGGGTATATTTCTATACATTTCCCACAGACGGCGCAAGTGTAGGTGCAAAAATTCGTCAACTTTGATGAGTTAAAGAATAAGAACAACACAATCAATGAAAATAATCAAAACAATGCATAATAAGAATTGGGAATTTTCGATATATCTCATTGGAGGTTCATGCCTCTATTTATACAAGATTTGGTGGTAAAATTATAGTAAGACTCGCTTTGCTTGCCTCCACGATTTGTTCACCATTTACCTTTTACAGCTCGTTCCATATGAGGTTTCTTCTATACATGGCTCTTTCTTCATACACTTCTTTCTATGTGAGACTCCTTCGATGTCGTGATTGATTAATTTGACTCATGAAATGTGTTGGGCCGGAAAGTAGATTTGATTGGTCTTATAATGGGCTGAGATACTGACAATGATTCTTTTAGACTGATCGGGTTGGGCCTTAAAAGTTTGGTAGGCGAAGATAGGTAGTTCAGAAATCACTTGTTGACGTGGTTTATTAGTAGGGGGATTTTTCCCTCCACACTCTGTTTAATTGATTCTACAATAAGTGATAATTGAGAAAATTAGTCTCAATCAACCAAGAAAAAAAAATCAAAGTGAGAGAAAATGGTTAGCTTATTCTTTCCCGAACCAACCTCGACCTCATCTTCGTCTACCTGAACCGTCAATGGCATCGAAACCACCACAAGATTAAATCGATTAGAGCAAGGTTGTCACAATCAAAACCACTGCATCATATATATATATTTTTACTGTGATTGGGTTGCAGAGAGCGAGAGTGCAAATGGAATAAAAGTGTTAGAGATGGGTATTTTTGTAATTTAAAAATAATATTTTTTTAGTTTTTAATTTAACATTAAATAGTAAGGTCAAATTTGTCATTTCACAGCCCGGTTAACGGGTCGGTCATGGATACTGGGGCAATGTGATCACTTTTTAAGTACTTGGGGTTTTCTGAAATAAGTTGGAGGTTTGTGATCAAAATTTAAAAGTAATGAGGATTTTATAGAATTAGCCCTAAATATAACGAATATATGTTTATATGTAAAATTAGAATATAAAATAATAGATAATTATTTGTCATGATAAAAATCATCGCCCAAATAGGACCCCACTATCTATGGGGGTGATTTCTATGTTTCTACCATTTCTTTGTGCAAGAGGATTATATCATTTTTTTCATTGGAGAGGTTGGGAGACAGAGACTACTGAGATGTAAAACTTTCATGTAAACATTATTATAATTATAAGCATGTGTATAAAGATATAAATGAAGAGATAAGGGCTTCAAATGAATCGCTTTATTAATTAACAACTCAAATTCGATTTAGGCTCGTTCGTTAAATAAATGAGTTGATAATGAGATTAATTCTAAATTTATTTAGTAAACAAGTAGATGCTGAATATTATAGGACTTAACTCGTGTATATGTTCATGAATATAAACTCAAATATACTTGTGAATACATTCATAAATATATGCCTGTATAAATTAATATAAGTTAATGAATGAGTTAAGTTATTTTTATTTTTTCTTAGTTGGTACTCACACATACATGTTTCTGTGAATGCTTGAATTTTTTTTTGAGAAGTAAGAATATAATATTAAGCCATTAGTCGTCGAACCCGAGACTTTCAAAATATTTACTAATCGAGCCCAAACTCAGATTTTCAAGTTTATAATGATTTCGAGCCGAGCCAAACTAAGTCCACAAACAAATAAGCTGAGTCCGAATAGACTCAAGTTTGGCTTGGCCCGATTTAATTCGTTTGCATCCTTAACAAAAAATATGAAAAAGACGTTGGCGGGAGTAGATTTTGAAGTCATAAAAACAAAAGAGAAAAAATTTTGATCCGTCATTCTAGCATTACTCTCTGCTATAAAACTTGGGGCGTCCTTTGTTCGGTTCAGTCAACATGACTACCCTTTGAATTTTGAGCCATTGCTGGCTGTCATACGCGTGATTTTAATTCCATGTCAGCAAAAGTCAAAACCAAGTCAACAAAGCTCAGGTCATCCTAGGGACGACCTACACCTCAGTTGCATCATAACACAGCTCTCCCTCCATTTTAGGCGGTCCTAATATTATTTCGAAAATGTGGCCCCCACATCCCGCACTCGGATGCCCAGATCCTGGATTTCAAAATCATCATCCGCTCTCAAGAACACCACACTTTTCTATTACCTGAAATTCTATTGGACAATCTCAACGTTGACCAATCAGGTTGTGACGAATTTCTGATTGTATCGTAGACTGATTACCTTTTGTACTTCCATATTTCGAATGAGGGACAGTTTGGTATTTTCAGGTGCTAAAAATTTGAAATCTTATGTAAGGACCCCCACCACGTCACCAATCTGTGTGACACCAGTCCAGAGCAACAACAACCGTCCGATCATCACCCAAATAAACAATCCCTAGTCGTCCGATTGTCCCCAAGACACTCCTCCCTTCTCTTTCCTGTCCCCTTTCACTCCCTCCTTTTAAATCCCTTCCTTCTTTAACTTTCCCCCACCTCCGTCCCACTTCTCTACAGTCTCTCTTTCTCTCTCTCTATCTTTCTCTCTCACACACAAACACACACAAACACAAACATGGCGACTGAGGAGTCCAATAATCCACCGCCGGCACCTGCTGCATCCTCTATACCTCAGTACCCAGAGGTAAGAAAATGTGTTTTCTCGGGAAAACTTTATCTTTCATCTGCATACATTGTTTTAGGTCAAGATCGAGCTTGATTTCAACTGGGCTGAGCTGATTTTAGCTGACTTTTGTTTTTTCAACAGATGATTTTAGCAGCGATCGAGGCTCTGAACGACAAGAACGGCTCGAACAAGTCGGCGATCTCGAAGCACATCGAGTCAACCCACGGCGAGCTCCCTCCGGCGCACACCACCCTTCTCGCTCACCATTTGAACAGGATGAAGCAGAGTGGTCAGCTCGTCATGGTCAAGAACAACTACATGAAGCCCGACCCCAATGCCCCACCTAAGCGCGGCCGCGGCCGTCCCCCAAAGCCCAAGGCGCCGACTCCTCCAGGCGCAGTAATTTCCCCGCCGAGGCCGAGGGGGCGTCCGCCGAAGCCCAGAGACCCACTTGCTCCTCCACCTCCGCCAAAGAAGTCAACGACCGGTGCAAGCGGGCGACCACGTGGAAGACCTCCAAAGATGACGAAGAAGGCTGCTGCTACGCCAGTGTCGGCGCCGCCGAGTGGGTCGCGGAGGGGGAGAGGACGACCACCTAAGGTGAAGCCGGCAGTGGCTCCGGTTGGGTGTTGATTGAAAACAAAAAGTTGGTTGTAGGGGTCATAGAGCTAATTGTTGTTTTTTTTTCTTTTTTTCTTTCCCTTTTTTTTATGAATTAGTCCTTTTGGTTTTTTTATTTATTTTTTTACTGTTGAGAGTTACCATGGTGGGGTTGTGGAGCTAAGTTATTGGATGTAGCTTAGGGGAGGTTAAAAGTTTGTGACTGTAATTGCAATGTAAATTTGAGCAGCGGCTTTGTAGGCTTTATAGGCCCTTTTTTCTCTCTCTCTAGAAGTGGAATATTATTGAAACTGATTCTGATTTGTATTTTACTTTTGTGCTTTTGCTTTTTTGCTTTTATTTTCATTTTATAACAAAGTGTCTTGGGATATGATCATATGAGTTTATTATATTTATTTTCTTATTTTTAAATTTTTTTATTAATGAACAGTTTGGAAAAGAGTGTTGCTTTGTATAAAATTTGTTCCGTTATAAAGACTGACCAGAAAAAGACAACTACTCCAATCTTTATTCTTTGGACATTTTTGTGTTCTAAATTTGAAAAAAAAAATTTCCCACTTTAATGAATTTGAAATATGCAATCTAAACTTTTGAATTCTTGAATTTTAGTTGGTTTTATTAATAAAATAAATTAAAAAGTTGAAAGTGTAACTGTGTAACATAAGATAAGAATAGTTAGTAAAAATTCATGTTACTTATATATATATATATATATATATATATATATATATATATATAAAAGTTAAATAACTTTTGTATATTATTTCAACAATACTTATATTGTGTGCTATGCTTATTAAATATATTAAGCATTATAAAATAGTTTAAGCACCTATACAATTTAAGCATTATTTAGACTTTGTTTTGAGATTTTAGCAAAACTTAAATGAAATTTTTGCAACATAACTTTGACATCCTACCTTAGAGTAATTGGTATGAAATTATTGATTTGATGATCATGATATTCAATAACTTATGAGTATATTTGTACTGATTTGTTACAGTGAATTACTTAATCAAATGTTTTTAATTATGTTATTTATGAATAATATAAGTAAGTAAAGAATTCATAACTTTATTTTTTTACATAGATGGCCAATTAAAAATAGTAAGTCTGGCAATTCACTGTAACAAATCAGTGCAAGTATCATTTTTCATAACTTCTTCTTAAAGTGGTTGGCATAGGATGTCTTGTATTACAACAATAACTTTACATCAGTTATGTAGCTTTGTATTGGATACTCAAATAACATCATACTGTTTATTGAACAACTATATTAGATCTCTTCTGCAACAACTTTACATTACATATTGTGTAAACGATGTAAAACATTGGATAAACAGCACAACACATTGTGACAGAGGGGATCATGATTACATGACAGATTATGTGCATAAAATTGCCCACACTGAAATTATAGAAAAATTTTACAATTGTCTCCGAAAACATTTTTCCTATTTTGTTTTTGTTAAATGCGACTTTACATAATTTTTTGAGTCCGTCCTAAAGACATCTTTATGTCCACCCTAACAAGCAAATTAACTATTATATTTGTGTCCTTGAGACAAATAAAGTCATAATTTGATTTCAAAAACAAGCAATTGTTGGGTGAATTGAATAGGCTCCATCTGAGTCATGAAAAAATCATGAAAACTAAAGATTTAAAGTGTGGTTGTGGAACATGTGAAAGCTGTGTTAGGGTTTATGTCTCATTAATTTCCTTCTTCAATGGTCTTCTTGAAATGGCATGGCTGAGGCTCTTTGTAAAAAGCTGATGATTTGTTTTGGAATGTTTGGCATTTGTGGTTGTTGGTAGCCACTGAGAGTGACTCTGTTCATCACCTCATTGAGCTTGTCGTTTTTGTTTTCATTTGTTTGTTTTGGTGCTTTCTAATTAATTAAAAAAAAAATAAATTTAGTAGACAATTTTGATTTGAACAAGTTCTTAAAAAATCAGTTTCTTTGTTCAGTTCCAAGCAAAATGTCCTCTCTTCCCAGAGACTATAATGGGCTATAGGCCCATGCAAAAAGACAAACAGACAAAGTTAAAAAGTGGCTAAGCCAAACTAAGCCCGTTAACTCCAGGCCCAAATTTCCTCTATCCAAAGCAAAAGGCTATTGCCACACGGCATCCCAACTAAAATCCGGCTGTATCGGAGTATAATTTTATCAGTCATTTTCACTAGTCAACGCTTTTCTTTTTCTTTTTTTTTTTATTTTTTTTTATTTCATATATATATATATATATATATATCTACCTACACCGTATACTAGGTACTCCTGTCGTACCAATTTAGTTGCCTATTTTTTATTTATTTATTTTTTACAAATTATCCTAAAATACTTTTCCATCTGTTAAGTTTAAACAATATATATCATAAATATTCTTAAAATTTTAAAAAATTTCAAACTTAATTATATATATATTTAAATTTGAAAGTAATTTTTTAAGAGTGCATTATAATAATTATACTTTAAAAAATTCTACTCTCTAAAATAAACATTTGATATGAGACGGGGAGTATTATAATAACATTAATTTATATAAATTTATTTTATTTTCCTTCAATCAAATCCAACACAAACTTTATTTATACGACACTTGCATTATTGTAAAGGATTTGACCAATCCACTTTGCATACTGAAAACAACATGCATCTATATATACATCACAGGGTAGAACTGAAGGGCACTCCGGTCCCCGGAATCCATGAATCTCCGTCCAAGAAGTTCCCAACAGTGAATTTTGCGGCCTCCGTTGCACTTGTTATCACATGGTATCCCGGCCACGTCACCCTACCACTAGTACCTGCACCAGCTCCGGTGTTCATGTACTCCCCGTAGTAAAGTGTACTCAAGGCAAAGTCTCCATTAAATGGAAGCCAACCCGCCGGATCGATCAGGCTGTCTAGAGAAGACTTCATGAACACTGTCCTCGAGTACATCTTGTACGGCCTCCCCAGGTAGCTCTTGAAGGAGCTTTGGACCGGTTTCAAATCCGACGCGGCGGTGACACGTGAATTGTGTACCACAATTCCGGTGTTCTGATTGGGATCAGTCCTTCCTTGGGCTGTGATGGTGTTTTTCTGATTGCTCAAAGGTTTTCTCACGAATATGTTGCAGTTCTGAAGAACTGTCACTGCATTCCCGAAAATGAAGTCAATTGTTCCGTAAATCTCACAGTCACGGTAGAATTGGCGCTGAGAGTAGGCATATAAGGTGTCTTGGTAGCCAATGAAGCTGCATCTGTAGAAAACTGAGAAATCTGAGCCGGAACGGAGTGCAACGGCTTGATAATTTTCAGGTCCGGCCGTGTTTTTGACCGTCATGTCTCGAGCAATGAAGTTGTTGCCCCAAACAGCTGTGAGAGAACAATACCAAACTCACTCTATATAGAAATATATTTGTTTGACATGTCCGTTTAGGTTTGTATTAAATTTATTACCTGAAGATTTTGAATGCTTTAAGTGTAAAATGTAAAAATGCTCAGGGAAGTTTAGTATTCGAGTTCTAGTTAAGACAAAAATGTATAATGGATGTGTATTTGTTTGAACTTTTAGGGAAAAAAAAAAAAACAGAAGAAGTCACGTTCTACAGTATTATTTGTTTGGTACCTAAAATGGTAGTCTTTTCCAGCTGATGCTAATAGCAATATTACTTAGAATAAATATAAAAACTTAACGACAAACTTACCAAAAGTCGCTGTGCGAAAAGTGGTTGCACCGTTAGAATTGGTATTGCCAGTAACAATGGTTGAGCCAATTCCATCTCCTATGACCATCAAATTCTTCATTGACTTCTCTATCATAACGTTCTCTCTGTAAATACCTGCTTTCACATATATAACAAATCGATCAGTCCCTGTCCTTAGTGTGGCCGACGCTGACACCGCCTCAGAAATGGTTGTATAGTCACCAGTCCCATCCTGGGCTACCACAACATCATATGATGCTGCCCCAGACGACTGGAGGAGCTTTCTATCAGCTGCCGACACCCATCCAGGGAAGCCGTTGGCCAGCAATCGCCGGTTATGTCTCTGCTTAACCGACAGTGCTGCAACCTTGTTTACCGCGAGCGAATTGCTAAGCAACTTGGATAAGCTACTTAACATAAAGGGGAAGAACTGTAAATGAGAGGTTAGGTTGAACTCTATAAATCCATTTTGACACGTTTGATGGTTTGTCATCGCGGCACTTAGCCATGTTTGAGCATCAGCCATGCCAGTTGGAGTACTGTGAGAGCTGAGAGATTGGTTAAGCAGGCTAACTGTGTCTTCATACAGCTCCAAACAATCCGCCCAAGCCAATTTGGCTTGCTTGTTGAATGGCCTCAGGTCCATAGCTGACACGAGCCGGTAGGCTTTTTCAGCTTGATTCAGAGTGACCCTGAGGTTTGATTCGCGAAACGCGAATTGGGTTTTGTCTAGTGTTGCCTGAGGTTGAGTCCTCACAAAGGAATTGCATATCCCAGGGTAAGGTGTCTGGCTACAAGATGTTATTCTGCCACCATGCACCACCCCAAGAAACAGAAGTGGAAGATAAACACTTAAAAAGGCTAACATGACAAGCCTAGCCATGCAGACCTTAAGTCCACTAGCTATTGAAATTTCTTATTTATGGTTCAATGGTATAAATGAAAAGGTGGCATGGGAGAGACATCTTATATAGACAACAAGATATTTTATTTTGGACACATTCGACTGCATTTACGTGAACGGAGATGTTATCATCATGATAGTTAGACATCATGATAAAGTTATCTCTACTAATATAAAAGCCGTACTACAAATTGGTAGGGGTAGTAAATTGTATTACTTATAGAGTCGACGCATCCAACTGCATTTACGTGAGTGGAGATGTTGTCTTCATGATAGTTAGACGTCATGATAATGTCATCTCTACTCCATAAAAGCCATACTACATATCATTTTCTATTTGTAAGTGTTTATAGTTGTATATATGTAGATTGAATATTATTTCAGTGCGTTTTAGGGTCCCGTGGGGCATGCATATGATGCTTACATGAAATAAGAATCTTGCGGGGTTTGATGGTTGTTTCTGAATGACAATTAGGGTTTAGCTTGGTGTTATTTTGTCTCCATGCATCATATATAGAGGATAAAACAGCTGGCTAACATGACAAGCCTGGCCGTGCAGACCATAAGTGTCCTAGCTATCAAAATTTCTTATTTATCTCTCAATGATATAATTAATTAAAGGTGTCACCGGAGAGACTTCTCAACAACTTGGTAGAGGTAGTGAATTGTATTAGTATTTATATATAAATGTCTATATATATATATATAGATTTAGGACATTTCAACGCGTTTTAGGTCCTGTGAGTGCCGTGGCCCGTGGGACACGCATATGATGCGTACATGAGATAAGAATCTTGGGGGTTTAATGGTTGTTTTCAGATGACAATTAGGGTTTTGGTTGAAGCTTCAAAGATGCGCAAATGACAATTAGGGTTTTGTTTTTTAGACTTTATATCTTTCTTTCTATGGCTGGGTTTTTTTTTTAGGAAATACTAAATTTATAAAAGACTAAAAATTATGAGTCTACGCACTAGTAATGTGCATCCAAAACTGGTTTCACTCACTAGTGTATGCACTATCCCGTAATGTGATTGGCTCAAATTTTAATTATTCCACAGATTTTATAAAAGAAAAAAAAGATCAAAATCAGCTATACCATGTGCTTGAATATGTGATTTTTGAGTAAATTAATTAAAAATAAATAAAAATAGAAAACAAGGAGTTCACACAAGTTGACCCACGAAATTTAGACCAGAAAACAATCCACAACAAAATCAATACCTAGGGTCATTCTTGTAAATTTTCGAAAAAATAATAATAATAAGTCATAGAATAAATACCAATAATGGATATACTTGGGCTGCTTCACTGTCGGACTGGGCTTGAAGCCCCACCCATTAACCTATCCTCTTAGTCCAGGCCAAGCAGATTTAAGGCCCGGAATTCTTTCCCATGGGCCATGGCTATGCACAGTAATAGGACGATCCAACGGGGCAATAATCAAACCAGGAAGAATTTTATCTTTTCATCGAGAAATTTTTCATTACAATTGTTGCAATGATGATGTGTGTAATGGACCGATGAGGATCCTCTCCAAAAAAGGAGAGGTCTTGCACGCTTACTAATCATTGATATGGCATCATTATTAATGGGAGAATCCAATTCAATGGTTGAAGGGTGTGTAGAATTTCTCATTTCTTGAAAAAGACCCTTATCCGTAATGAACAGTTACAAACACCCAACCAAACACATATATCAACTTACTGAGAATATGATTCACTAATTGAAAAAGTCTATAATTGACTATATTGATTAAGAGAAACAGAGTCGCGGAGTGGTGAATTCCATACACTTCCCTCTTTCTCGATCTCTGTGACAATATTGGCAATTGTAACATTCTTTTTCTTTCAAAGTTTTGGGTGATAGACACTCCTAAAATTTCGGCTGGAACTTTTGGCTAGAAAATTATTATTCTTCTCTTTTATTATGAGCAATCATAATCATTAGATACAGAGAGATGTGTTTGAAACTTTGACTCTCTACCCAAAAACTGTAAAATAGGGAAGAAATCATAACCCAAGCAACTTTAAGCCTTTTACCTGTTCTCACATCCATCCCAAACCAGAAGAAAAAACTTGAGTACACTCTCTCATCCCATCAATCTTTTCATCAACCATAAAACCATTTCGCTCCAAAATTTTTGAATGCTTTAAGGCTCTGACTTTTGTCAATTACATCAAACTTTTTGAGCAAAACATAAAGCTCAAGTATGAGGTAATTTAACGACACTTCACGTTTCAAAACAAAAGATCATAGTTACTGTGTAGAAAGGGATTTGGATCCGCTCTTGATGCTGTGTCTGTGCCTTAAAACGTAGGTGACAGTGACTTAATACTAATTAAATCAATATTTGTCAATTCCTTTAGGGTGCGTTTGGATGACATGATTTGGAGGGATATGGAGATAAACGAAATGAAATGATAGTGGTCAATTATATTTGGTGAATTAAATGGAGAGAAAAAAAATGATAGGATAGGAGGGTTATTTGCTATCTTTCCAAAATTGAGAAGATGAGAAGAGAAAACATAGTGGTTTAGTAGTATTTTGATAATACCAAAACTAGCCTCCACAAATAAATATATAGATTTGTTATTGCATTCCCGCCCTAGTTATATAAAAGGCTATTAATTTAGTTAAACAAGAATGATTATCATTTTCTTTTATTTATTATTATTATTTTTCTATTATCATTTGTTTTCTCTACTATCTATCCAAATGCATCGCCTTGTTTTGTTTTTAGAATGTTAATCAACACTCAAAATAAATCAATGTGATGAAAACTAAAGGAAAAAAATTAAAGAATTTTTAACACAGACAAACAATGAATGAATTATATACATATATATATTTTGATTCACTAGTATATTTGCGTGTATTTATTAATTTTTGTTCAAATTAGATTTATACATATGAGTTTAGGCATATAATGTGTCTATAAATATGGTCATCGGTGGAAAGGGGGGAGAGGGAGTGGTGATTTGAGGTTGAGAGGGAAGCAGTGATGGGCACGGTTAGAGAGTGTTGGTGGAGGTGGAAGGGGTGGAGATGACCTTGGTCAGAGGGTGGGGGTGTGTGAGGTGGATAAAATAGAGTGAAAGAGATATGGAAGGAGAAAGGAGAAAGATAATAAAACATAATAATAATATTTATTTATTATTATTATTTTTTTAAGAATGAATTATTGTGCCTTAAAACGCTATAGTTTTGACCCGCACGAGAGAACCTCCCTGGAAGGGAATTTTAAACCGCATGAGAGAACCTCCTTGGAAGGGAATCCGAAACCAAATCTGTGTAGAAAGACATTGAAATATATGATGGAAATGTTCATTCCTAAAAAGACTCAAATATTTGTTGCTTAGGGTATGTCTTAGTCAATGCCAGCAAAATAAGTGAGAATTTCTTTCTTCATCCATACTTTTTTTTTTCTTCTTTGGTATTTTATTTTATTATATATATATATATATTATTTTTTATTTTTGCATAAAAACCCTAACATATCAAATATTATACGCACAGAATTAATATACGTTAGCACTGTAAAAGCTGAATCTCAATTGACTAGAAACTTAATTGGAAAAAAGGAATTATTAAAAAGGGTTAAATTTATCTTATGGTAATTAACATTTCAATAAAACCCAAAAAAGAAGCCCTTAATTCACGTAATCTAAAATAGTACACTTAGCATAAATAAAGCTGATATCAAACCATCATAATTAATCAAATATAGTTCCCTAAAGTCGTTCATTATGATCTAAAAATAATAATCTAATATAGAAATATCAAGTGGACTAACCAAAAAAAATTATCATTTCAGATATTCATTATTCATCTGGGGCAGTCATTATGATTTCTGTTTCCAGTCCTTTTTTTCGTAGATGAGACCAATTAATGTATGTATTATATATATATATATATATTTCAATATATGTATTATATATTTATACACACAACCATCACTAGTGTTGTTGCCAGGACCACAACATTCCACAAATGCCCACTGATAAATATAAATAGCTAACACCACTGCCATTCCCTTTTTGGGAATCTACTACACACCATCTACAGACTATCCTAACTGAACCTATTTTTATTGTTCAACTACCTAACAGAATTTGCCTACACCAGACTACAAATATTATTAGGTAAATTCCACTTACCTCTTTCCGAGTTTTAGTTTTATTAAAATATATATAGTTTTTCATGATACCGTGTACAATTTTTTAAATCATGGTTTATATAATAAATGGTTAGGCACTTGACGGAGATAAACGTAATCTGTTAGTGCCAATGATAGAAAATTGATAAAAGATTCATTTTATCCTTTTTAATACTTGAAATGATAACAAACATTTAATGAACAACACTAAAAAAAAATGAGACCGACGGTAGACACCTCATATGAGGAGATAAATGAAATTATGAAACCTAAATGGGTCTTGTGAAATATTGAGGGGGAGGTAAATGATTTATCAAGTACAATACAATCAATTAATCAGACGGTGAACAGATGAGGACCTCCATGGCATCATAACCTAAACACGAGCTTGCTTGCTTCTCATTGGTTGGGTCTGGTCCATCACTTTTTCGATCACTCCACGTGTTCGCCATCAAGTGACGGTGATCACCCCATACCAGTGTGACCCACCGACTCTAATAAAAACAAACACCGCAAAACCACCAACGGTTACACAAAAATCGTAAACCCGGTTCACATCTAGTCAAGACAGAAACGAACCGGTCAAGCTTATTCTCATCGGTATCCCAACTCTATCTAATCAGTTCCCTCCACGCGGCACTAAATCATTGGTCCAGCCTCTCGAATCCAATGACGAATATTTGTGTATAAAACGACGACGGAGGTTTTCTTCATTCTTAGCTTAGCCCGTCGTCAGTACTGCAAGAGAACTAAAATGGCGCGAAAATCTCGCCATTCTCCGACTTTTCCGTCGTTTTCGCTCGTTTTCTCTCTCCTTTTCCTTCTCACTCCTCCACTTTCCACCGCGGGCCGCCATGACTACGGCGACGCACTCAGAAAGAGCATTCTCTTCTTTGAAGGCCAGAGGTCCGGCAAGCTTCCGCCGGATCAACGCATCAAATGGCGTAGGGACTCCGCATTGCGCGACGGAGCCACCGCCGGAGTAAGCTCCGTCTCCTCTCTCCACCACGACCTTACATTTTGATTTCCACGCTCTGTCAACTGACAAATTTTCGGATTCTCTTTTTCTAACTGTTTGTTGTTGCAGGTGGACTTGACCGGAGGTTACTACGACGCCGGAGACAACATCAAGTTCGGATTCCCGATGGCATTCACGACGACGATGCTGTCGTGGAGCGTGATAGACTTCGGCAAGAGCATGGGGCCGGAGTTGAATAACGCCGTGAAGGCCGTCAGGTGGGGGACGGACTATCTGTTGAAGGTAACGGCGGTGGCTGACGGCGTTTATGTTCAGGTGGGAGACCCGTACTCTGATCACAACTGCTGGGAGAGGCCAGAGGACATGGACACCCTACGATCGGTGTACAAGATCGATAGGGCCCACCCTGGGTCCGACGTGGCTGGCGAAACCGCCGCTGCTCTCGCTGCTGGTTCCATCGTGTTCAGATCACGTGACCCTGCGTACTCTCGCCTCCTCCTCGATCGTGCCGTTAAAGTATGTCCTTGTTCCAACATATCTTTCTTTCGTTTTTTTATTTTTTATTTTTTATTTTTTTATTTTTATTTTTATTCTATATCTATATATTTTTACACATCTACTATAAAATTATATTCTATATCTAATTTTTTTTTACAATGATGGTGTCAGCCTCTCAATACACCGTATAATCCATTCATTAGCGGCTCTTTCTATTCTACATGCACCAAAATAATTATAGAGAAAATAGTACAGTTTACATGGTCTATATTATTTTCTTTTTTATGTGTTAGCATATTATTTTGAAATAAAATTGCCTTTTTTTTTTTTTTTTAATAAGTAGAACAAAATTGCCTTTCAAATCACTATATTGGAAATCTAGAACACTTCTCGAGTATGCTAATAGTCTACATATAAACAGAGAAAAGTTCAATTATTTAAGTTGCTTTGGTAAAAGTTAAAGAGTTGTCAAAATAACACCTATGTTTATCAAATTATTACTCTTCATTCCCAATATTCCTTGAAAAAGGGGTTTAATATACCATATAGTGAATATAGTGGCCTTCGAGTTTTTGGACTAACAAATGTGGGAATGTAGATTGAGTTTGTAGCAATTATTTTGTGTAATTTAAAATAAAATATTAAATGTGTTTGGTTTCATTCCTTCTTGAGAATTTGCACATTATTTTTTTGTTAATATAATCAAGTGCAATTCACTCGATGATGGAAAGAACATATAACATTTGTTATAATCTGATAAAAGATGATTATCGAGTGTTGTTCTCAGGTACGTGAGTGATTGAGTAAAAACGAGTGTTGTTCTCAGGTACGTGAGTGATTGAGTAAAAAAGGTTAAACCGCATTTAACATGTGAGGTTTGCTGGTGAAAATAATTGGTCTCGAACTCAAATCTGTAATTGTTTTGTTTGTATATATTATTAGTTCTTACTATAGCATAAAAAATTGATTAAGATTTATCCTAACATTTATATATATATATATATATTGGCATAGAGAGCCAAAACGATAAAGAATGTATGTGTGTGGAGTCTAAGTATAATTTAGCAATATTAAATAGGTAACAACATAATTTAAAATAATATTAGATCAAGGAATGGTATATATAAGTCCAAGGTGGCATATAACTCAGATTTTCATTCTCACATGGCACGGCATGGTGGTTGAGTATGACATGCTCCGTACATTCTTAATCTAAAGTGGACCTCTTTATTCTAATATATATATATATACATACATCTATATATATATATATTTATATCTATATCTCTATGTATATATATGTGTATATTATACACGGGTACTAATAAATTTACCGTTGTGTGAAACGGTCATGGTTGTGTAGGTGTTCGAGTTTGCTGACACACACAGGGGTGCGTACAGCTCCAGCCTGCACTCTGCGGTTTGCCCTTTTTACTGTGATGTCAACGGCTACCAGGTAAGAAAACCGAAGACTCAGAATCTAGCCGTTGATTATGCGTAAAAATAGAAAGTAACAATAGTCGTTGATTTTTTTGCTGATCTGTGGAGATGCAATTTAATATGATAGGACGAGTTGCTGTGGGGAGCGGCGTGGTTGCACAAGGCATCGAGGAGGCGCGAGTACCGAGAGTACATAGTGAGAAACGAGGTTGTTTTGAGAGCTGGCGACACTATTAATGAGTTTGGTTGGGATAACAAACACGCCGGGATTAATGTACTCATTTCCAAGGTAATCAAGTCAGCTTAACTTAACCCGGAATTAATTAAATCTCGGATAATGAAACAGATTTTACTCTTCGTATTCTGTCTCGTGTACTCATCAAATCCTTGTCTCGTCTGTTTATTTCTTATTCTTGTTTTGTTTGGAATTTAGAAAAGAAAATGTCTGTCGATCACGTGGTGTAGAATAAGCAGATCATATTGTTTAGATGGGCCCACCACGGTGGATCCCATGGAGCAATGGGCCCCAAAGAAAAATAATCAAGATCACACTTCACTTTGTTGACAAAAATGACGCAAACTAGACTTCTCATTGTTGTTGGACACAAATGACAAACTGGGCACACAAACTTATAGTGGAAAGTGCCCTTAAGTTTTAAGAACACTGTCCCTGTGGAAAATTAGTGATGCCCAAAACATCTTTATATCTGACTTTTTGTGGGTCCCGGATATGTGATTTTTCAGCCGAATGCATGTGCTAAAAGGCACTGTAATACAGTTCTTTCCATACCCAGCCATTATTTCGGCTCAGTGTATTACTGCTGTTCAAAGTGATTGCGACTTCTCCTCTTATTGGGGGTCTCAGATTTGGGGCACATTGTCTTTTCCACATTTAATCCATTTTTATTAAATACTTCACTGGTTCTTTACTAATGTTATCCTTGCCCATCCCTCATCAGAAGACCAATGGAAGAGTACTGGTGTACTTGGATTCTTTGCATATCTAAATTATATAAAATCAACTGATTATCATATATATATATATATATATATATATATCATTTAACACATATATGTATGTTTTTAGGCACACACGTGCTGTCAATTAGTGGAATGTGTAGTTAATTATTATATAATTAATTGCAGGAAGTTTTGATGGGAAAAGCACCTGATCTAAAGTCCTTCCAGTTCAATGCCGATGGCTTCATTTGTTCTGTATTGCCTGGAATTTCTCATCCTCAAGTCCAATATTCTCCAGGTATATTCAGAGTTGTTCGATGGTCGACTATTTTAACATGAGTGAGAACTAACATAAGAATAACGTATTTCAATTTTACGTCAAACAGTCAGACTAATCAATCACATTACACAAACTAAAAACTTTTTCATTCAAGTAAAGTGGTATAAGTTGCTTTAAAGCAAAGAGAATGCTACATTTGTGTGTTATATATATATATATATATAGAGAGAGAGAGAGAGAGAGAGAGAGAATACTAGTTTTTTTTAATAAACTAAAGTTATTCTCTTGTCACTTTCCTGTTTGGAAAAGGTGGGCTGATCTTTAAAGCTGGAGGGAGTAACATGCAGCATGTAACGTCACTGTCTTTCCTACTTCTGGCCTATTCTAATTATCTAAGCCACGCCAATCGTGCCGTGCCATGTGGCGAGACCTCTGCTTCCCCGGCTCTTCTCAAACGACTGGCCAAACGTCAGGTAAGTGGATCCTCTCTGTTATTTGTCCATGTGTACAACCATCGTTGGAAATTTAACTGTCACAACTTGTCTTCTAAGAAACATCAACAGCCATGAAATGCAAATTTACCTAATCCCCGGTGGTCCAGTCCACAATGTGTGATGGTCATGCACTACATGTGATCACGCATGTCTTTATAATCGAATTATTGCCCACAAGTCTGCAATACTCGCCCTACTGGGTGTCTCATATACTGATTGATCCCAATCACGACAATCAGGTGTCACACATAATGTTATGAAAAAATTGAAATTTACCTAATATATTTGTGAGAATGCGAGAAACTTAACTCTATTTATGAATTTTTAATTCTTGTGTATTTGTTATATATGATGAATTTTTTTTATTTCCGGGGACGTATGATGATTAGGTGGACTACATTCTTGGGGATAATCCACTGGAGATGTCGTACATGGTAGGGTATGGTGCACGTTATCCTCGGAGAATACACCACAGGGCCAGCTCGCTACCATCGGTGAAGGCCCATCCGGCCCGCATAGGATGCAAAGCAGGGTCTCGATATTTCTTGAGTCCAAATCCAAATCCCAATGTATTGGTTGGAGCAGTGGTGGGTGGGCCCAACATCTCCGATGCATTCCCGGACTCGAGGCCTTTCTTTCAGGAGTCGGAGCCCACAACTTACATCAATGCACCCCTGGTGGGCCTTCTGGGCTACTTTTCAGCCCATCCTTGATTTCAATGCCGAAGAAGAAATGTAAAGCGGAAGAATGTAGTAGTGGTGCGCGAAGGTCACCCTGCCTATTATTGTGTTTTAGAATCTAATTTGTTCCCATTATATGAATGAAACAAAATTAGTAATTATTCCTACCTATCTTTCAAAACCCCACTCAAAACACACACACACACACACACACACACACACACACACACGTATTTGTGCTTTCTCCACAGTTTATGCACTTAATTAGGATAAATCTGATTTAATCCATTAGCTTCAATATGCTCAATTCGGATTTTTCATGCAGATATGATATTGTAGCAATGGTACGTGCCTATAAGTACTAATCATGTGTGCGTTAAGTTTTTAGCATTTTATATATTATAAACACCATTGTATATGGGTCTCAATTTGTCCATCATAGCTACTGATTATATATATATATATATATTTACACGCAACGAAGAATAAACTCTTTTGCTAACCACTTTAATTCTTCGTGGAAAACCTGGAATATGTGTAGTGAGCTTATTGTCACGCCCCACCTATGGAGGTTGTGCCACGCAGGCGACACGCAGACGCTGAGGAGGATGCTGCATGGCAACTGCATGGCAAGTGGAGTTTCTAGAGTCTTCCGGAGTAGTCTAGAGTTGTGTGGAAGATTCTAGATATGTGTAGAAATATATAGAAGTGTGTGGAAAGTTCTAGAGTTCTCCAGAGTTGTGTGGAGTAGTATGGAGAGTTCTAGAATGTTGTAGATATTTATGGATAAGTATGGAAGTGTGAAGAAGGTGGGAGAAGATTCTAGAGAATCGATCTCCACCATCGGTTCAAATGCATCCTAGCCGTCCATTGGGGATGGGGATGCCTATAAATAGAGGTAGGACTTCATTTTGTGGACAACAAGTCCTAGAGTGAGTCTTGAGAGCCTTGTAGAGAGCTTGAGTGTTAGCCTTGTACAAAGCATTCTTTGAAGTAATAGAAGTGTTCTTTCCTTGCCAACTTAAGTGCCTCAGTGTGTGTGAGTGTGCAAGCCAAGTGAGGAGAGGGCAAGGGCAACTACAACACTAGTAAGCGCACGAGGGGAGTGTGTTGGCTAAGGTGTGCACGGGAGTTAGGCTGACCAAGTACTTGCGAGAGTGAAAGCAACGTCTTGGTGCCGCACGGGATCAGCTAGAGTGGTGCTGAAACTCTAAGCCCGTGACATTATGCTTATTTAAATGCTTGGGTTAAAGATTCTTGTAAAGGATTACTTGTCCCCATCCATGCATTCTTGTCTTATGGCTTTATTCTCCATCTTTTGCATTTTGTCAGTGGCCCAATTAATAAGAATAAACTGCAACTCATATTGGTTGGTATTGAAATATATATATATATATATATATATATATATATATATTTCAATAATATGTATTGTATTGTGGTCACAATATCTGTATGCATCCAAGCCACCATTCACATTGTGCACTCATTCTTCTCCACATATTCCTATCAAAGGAACTTGCCAACGAAGGAAAACAGTACTTAAAGTTACTTTTTTTTTTAATAAGAGTTCACGATTTTATTTTGGTACATGGACTTTATGGATGGAGAAGAAACTTAGGCTGATTGGGAGTACCGAATTAGCGGTTTTGGATAGGCTGTCATCAAGCACGTAGGTAGACTATACCTTTCCCATGTCCATTCTGAATGTGAGGGTTGAACCAAATGCTAGTATATATATTCTCAACTATTTGAGGGACTTTTCTTGGGAAAATCAGATTGGAAATAATATATGATTTCGTGCTCCTGACAATGTGACATTTCTGTTATTTTAGTATATTTTATATTTTTTATTGTTTTAATATTGTGACATGAAGGTCATGATTTCGAAATTAAAAAAAAAAAAAAAAAAAACAACACTAGAATAGTGGTGAAATTTCAATTTAAAACAATAGCCTAAAATAGGGTGAATGGATTTAACTAGCATATTTGTCTGATTTTATATTATTCTAATTTTATCCAAATTAAAACTAAATCAAATCCATAACAATAACAAAGTAAAGAACGATAAAGTGAGAGATGATATCAAAATTTTAGCGTCACGTGGACTTAGCCATCTTGAGCAAAAGAATCAACTATCTCAAACTAAAGTACAACAGACTATGTCCAGGTTAATTCCCACTCTACTATCAAAAAATTAGTTGCAAAATGTATCAGGCTCTTGCGACTCGTCATCTAATTGCAACATACTTCTAGCCGCTTCACGAAGACTTTATCCCCTCATAATACAATTGATCCACCTAAAGCGGTTTTTATTTTATTTTTATTTTATTTTTTATTTTTTATTATTATGATAAAGCAAACACACACTTTTTACCCACGCCCAGGCTCGAACCCCTTCCCTACTCATTGAAGATGGGAAGGTTATATCATTAGGCCAAAGGCCCTTTGGTTGATCCACCTAATTACTTACGAACACAAAATTGAAAGGAGAAAAATAAATCATGCTTTATGATCAACCAATATAATATGAAAACAATTTTATGTGAAAATAATCTCTAAAACCCTTTTGCTAGCAAAACTAATAATCTCTATGTGCATATATACCAACTCATAATACAAAGAGAGTCCTTATATAGGTTGAAAATTAGGTTAAAAATGATCAAAGACATCTCAAGCTAAAAAGTGCAGCCGGTTGGACTTCAAATAACTGTTGTAGAATACAATAGAAAAAGTTGCAGGTGGCACGTGCGGCTGGGACTTCGCAAAATTCCAAATTTTCATTCAAAACCCTAAACATAAACATTTGTGCAAGGTGTCCTCACTCAACTTAATTATCTATTCTATATGGTGTTCGATTTAATCGAACCGAAGTATCTTGCATTTGTTGTTTCGCTTCTGACATCGAGACTTGAAGTAGAACGAAAAATATATATAACTCGATCACACTCATTTTAACACCGAAAATTTTCCAACCAAAAAGTACATATACCACGGATTCTCCATACTAAGTCAAATCTGAGTAAATCTCACCCTTCTTTTCTTATTTAGTAAATACAAGAGATTTGAACTAACATTTGTAATAGACATTACATATAATTTTTGGAGGAGGAGGTTGAAAATACTCCGCCTAATATAATTGAGAGGAACTTTCATGAGTTACAAGAAAAAATAGGGCATCCATCCTGTTGGGAAACGTGCAAGTTTTAAAACTTTTTGAGTGATTTTGATTCATAGATCTTGATTCATCACATAGAGACAAGTTTTATGCAAAAATAAAATATGATGTATCAATCAATTAATGAATTGAATACTTACATCAAAAGTCTGAGTAAACCTTTAAATCTTTCCTCTAAAGTGAATGTTCTCACTTATTGTAGATCCCTTTTCCTAGACACATTTTCCATGGATCTCTATCTTCTTGGTAATGGTCTTACCTTTATGAATCACTCATAAGCCTCCATGAATGACCTTGGAAAACTAGGCTTGTGGGAGCCTCCATTAGATGAGAACACTAACCCTAATTTTCTAGAGAGAGAAAATTTATTCCTTTTTCCTTCTTCCAAAAATCACCCCTAAAATATTCATAGACCATGTATATTTATAGGCAACATAAAGATAAAGAAAAGGAAACAACAAATCCTTCTCAATCTCTAATTCACATGTCTCAAATCTAATATGATTCCAATATCAAGTTGGGCTATGAGTGAGAATCCATTGGGCCTATTATTTTATTGGCTACAATGAATTAATAATTGGCCCGGTCCATGGACCCAATTCAATTAATTCATAAATTAATTTCTATTCCACTAAAAGAAATTAATTGAACTCCAATTAAATAATAAATAACCATTAAGTCAATATTGCACTTTGACCCCTCTATGCATAATTAGTTATCGGATAAATAAAGCCATCAATCTGACTACTTAATTAATATATTTATTTTGGTACCATTGATTATTTCTGGCTCGATCACAATAAAACATTTGTTTGACAAAAATAATAATTTAAATAAATAAATATATAATAAATCATTTTGTCTAAAAACACACGAAGGCCTTCGAATTTACTTTGTAATCAACCATAATCAATACAAAATAAATACAAGTAGCAATGATGCAAATATTAAAAATATAACCCTCTAACTATTAATTACATAACTACCCAAAGTGTCGGTCTAAAGATCCCGAAGAATCCGCCGAACAAATCAAAGTAATTATTAATTAATAAAAGAGTCTATAATTTTCTCATACTTAAGAGTCAAATGCCATGATGATGATAGGGAGCAATTGCATACGACGGCTCTCACAATATATCTCAACCTAATGCGGATCCAGTTCAAGTCTTAATTAATTATGAGTCCATCCATAATTATCGACTATGAACCATTTATGATTACTATTTATATATCATGCATTGATTGCCATCACATACATATATATAAATATTTCTTGTAATCAAATGGACACTATCAATTCTATAATGAATCAAAATATAATACATTGAATTCACTAATTGTATAAAACAAAAATATTTTAGAAACGTCAAGAACATATGTCACTTTAATCCAAACAGGAATTTGCTATGCTAGGGTATATAAATCCCAACAGCTCCCACTTGCCCTTATAGCCAATTCAAATTGCACATAACTCCAATGTTATCCAGATGATGATCAAAATTATTGATCAATGACACCTTTGATAATGGATCAACAAAGTTGTGTTCCAATGCAATGTTCTAGCTACAAGTACATTTTCTTGCCGGACAATATCATGTAGAACATGATACTTCCTCTCAGTGTATCTTGCTCCTCTATAGAACCTTGGGTCATTGGTTTGGACTACTTTTGCACTATTGTCACAACATAGCTCAATAGGCAGGCTAGTATACTCCACAACCTCTAAATCAGTGAGATCAAACCAATAGGCTTCCGTTGCCGCCTTTAAGGCTGCAATATATTCCACCTGCAGGTTTGAGTCAGCAGTTGAAATCTGCTTAACAATCTACCAACTGATTTCCCTTCTATTAAGTGAACATACACTAAGTCATGAACCTCATAGTATTTACTTCTGATTGAAAATCAGAATTAGCATACTTGACTAGGACCATATCATCACATCCATAAATGAGTATGAGATCATTGGTTCTCTTTAGGTACTTAATGATATTTTTCACAACAGACCAGTTATTAAGTCTAGGATTGGATTGATATCTACTGACTATCTCTACTATATAGCGGATGTCCTGTTTGGTATAGACTATGGCATATATGAGACTCTCATATGCCGAAGCATATTGTTCCAGTCTCATTTGCTCAATCTCCTTTGATAGTCTTGAAAAACTACTTACTAGAGAGAGACATCCATATCAACAAAGTAAGAACTCATTCTTTGAGTTATGCATACCAAACCTGTTCAAAACTTTATCAATGTAGGATTATTAAGATAAGCCTATTTTCCTTTTAACCTGATCTTGCAAAAGCTTGATCCTAGGAATATAGCTTACATCTTGAAAATCATTCATTTAAAAGTAATTAAACAACTACCTCTTTACTGATGACAAAACTTCCACATCATACTAAATGAGTAGGATGTCATCAATATATATAGAATCAGAAAAATAATGACATTCCCTTGTACACTCATGATTAATTCACTAAGAAATTTTCTGGTATCTTATTGTAGATTAACTTGCCTTCCATAGGAATCACCCTACTAGAAAGTTCTACAAAATCCAAGAATTTATTAGAATACATAGATTCCAACTTTGATTTTATAGTAACTCGCCAAAACGATCTGTATCCATATCGGTTCACGCTTTCGTATAGCTTACTGGGTCTAACTCATGTTTAACAGGGATGTCCATAATGGTCTCACCTAAAAACATGATTCTGTCGGATTGGATGATAATCCTCCCACTACATCAATGTACCGATGCAGGAATTTGTGTACTAGATGATGCTAACGCATCAATAGGGAATTCATCTATTATTCTTAATCTCTATAATAAGTGTGTTCATATGTGGTATATCTGGTACTCATACCATATTCTCTAACATTATTCTACTAGGTATATGATTCATAATATAATCTTCTTAAAGATAAACAGTGAGTGTAAACAATCAACTTTTATCATTTAGATCATAAAATAATCCATCCTAGAGCTTTTTAGAATAGCTATCAAATCTATCAT